CCTCTGCTCTGTCTCCTCCACACCCTGATCACAGTGACCACCTTCCATGCCCTGCTTTCCTCCCTGATTCCAGAGTCTACACCCTGAGTCCTCTTCCTCCTCCCTAGAAACTTTCTTACACCCACACCAACCTCCCTTCTTTCTCGAGGCCCTATGTTTCTTATTTCTGTCCTGGATTTCTTATTTCTCTAGTCCACTATTCTGAGATCCTTCTGCCTCCAGGCTTCATTTGACACCATAAGAAAATGACTCTGGAGAGGTCTCTGTGGGCCTTTTTCCTAATTGTGCAACTACCTCCTGGAAATCTGCCTGATGCTTCAATCTGAGGCTGGTGCGCTGGCCTGGGCTGTGGCATCTGCAAAGACTGGGAATTTTCCTTAGAAGATGAATGAGGGACAATAGGCCCATGTCCTCCCATCCCAACACAAAGCAGCCCCAAAGGATATATCTATTTAATTGAATTCACATGGGGCAGTTATACCACAGTGGAAAAACCACTCTGAAGGATTTAGCTCTGAAGAGTAAGTTCTAAACATCTATGTGTAGATTGTCGCTGTGCTTCCCCTGGATCCTTCAACTGCTCTGTGTCCTTGTCCCCCCACACAGACTTGGGCCTTGGACCTGTGATCTGCTTTTCCAACGGAGAACAGTAAACATGATGCAAGTAGAGGCTCAAATTGCACTCAGGCCTGACCTCTCCCAGTGCCGTGGGACCCTGAGGCTGCCTGTGAACAAGCCCCCGCTGGCTTGCTGGAGGGTGAGTGGCCTCACTTCAGGACAACCAGGGCTCAGCCAACAGCCACTGCCCACACTCTGCCCACAGATGTGCGACTGAGTCTAGCCAAGCCCAGTAAAAGGACCACCCATCTGTGTCCAGCCGCAATTGTGGATCTACATAATTGTGAGGCTCACAGATAAATTGCTATTTTAAGCCACTATATTTTAGAGAAAGCTAACGGAATCATTCATTCATACAACTCGCCACACAGTGTCTGGAGAGATGAGGAATGGTCAGGCCCACAAGGCTGTGCAGTCAGGGACACAGGGAGAGCCAGGAGGCTCCCTCAGATCCAGGGCCAGGATTAGGATGAGGGGTGAGGCATTCACCTTGCACCCAGAATTTAAGAGGATATGGTAACTCAGTAATCAAGATAAATTTTTTTTTTTGAGACAGAGCCTCAAGCTGTCCCACTGGGTAGAGTGCTATGGCATCACAGCTCACAGCAACCTCCAACTCCTGGGCTCAAGCGAGTCTCCTGCCTCAGCCTCCCAAGTTGCTGGAACCACAGGCGCCCACCACAATGCCCGGCTATTTTTTGGTTGCAGCCGTCATTGTTGTTTGGCAGGCTTGGGCTGGACTTGAACCCGCCACCTTAGGTGTATGTGGCTGGTGCCTTAGCCACTTGAGCCACAGGTGCTGAGCCAAGATAAATATTTTAATGTAAGATTAAAAAAAATCAAATTGGCAAACTATATGCTGGTTGCCTATCTTTGTAAATAAAGTTTTACTGGAATCGTTGCTGGGATGAGGGTTACACAAGCCAGGTAGAGTCATCCAAGAACAAGGTCATACTTGTTTTTATTAAAAAGTCTGGCACTTTGCTTATCGTGGATTTTCTTTCTGTCTGTCTGTCTTTTTTCTTTTTTAGAGACAGAGTCTCACTTTATTGCCCTCAGTAGAGTACCGTGGTGGCACAGCTCACGACAACCTCCAACTCCTGGGCTTAGGCGATTCTCTTGCCTCAGCCTCCTGAGTAGCTGGGACTACAGGTGCCCACCACAATGCTTGGCTATTTTTTTGTTGCAGTTTGGCCGGGCCGGGCTTGAACCTGCCACCCTCGGTATATGGGGCCAGCACCCTACTCACTGAGCCACAGGTGCCGCCCTATCATGGATTTTCTTTTAGCATTAATCTTACTTGTTCATTTGTTTTCTTTTTTTATTTAGCTCTTTTAATTTCGGCCAAATCCTTCCCAACATGCTGACTGGCCTCTGGTATCTGACAGGATTGAAAACCTCTAACTGCCTCTTACATTCCCTGCCAAGGGTCCCAATTTAACTTAACCTTGCCAAGCAGTCCCACCAGGCTGAGAATGAAATCAGGGGTGGGAGGTAACCTGAGAGCGCCTAGCGCCCAGGGGCAGAGGAGCCTGGTCTACCTGAAGGCTCTCCAGTTTTCACTAGTTCCAAAGATTCCTCTTGGTGGTGGTGTCCCTGGATAGTTTTCATGGGCAAACTGTATGAGCAATCTGAGTAGATCTCCAGATGACTTTCAAAAATGTTTTGGTTTGGGTAGCACCTGTGGCTCAAAGGAGTAGGGCGCTGGCCCCATATGCTAGAGGTGGCAGGTTCAAACCCAGCCCTGGCCAAAAACTGCCAAAAAAGAAATGTTTTGGTTTATTTGTGTATTTGATTTTTTTTCCCCCTTAGATTGTGTTCATATATAACCTCTGCTAACTCATTGAAGCCAGTGCCTGGAATATTCAAGATTAAGTTGCTGTTTTATTTATTTTTTTTAAGACCAGTCAAGTGCAGTAGTGAGAAAGGGAGAAAGAGTAAACAAGGAGTTCAATCTGTAACTGACTGTAAACAATCAAGTGAGATAACTCACTCCCTTCAGACCAGCCAAGTTGCTGGTGTTTTACAAAGTACACTTCTAGCCGTTAGTCTTGGAATGTAGAAGTGAGTGTCTGGGTGTGGACTCTCCCAGGGGTGTGGTGCAGAGGCCTGGGTAGTATTTACAGTATTTCCCGAAAGAACCACCCAGACCTCACCTGGTAATCTCAGTGTATTTTGACCCTAACTTGGATACTCCTTTGTTCACTAAAAGATTATCTTTTCGTCTCCCACAATAACCAAACATTTACAAACCAGAGTCAGCTCTTTGGTGGGCTCAAGGGAGGAAGAGCAGTTGCTTTCACAGCACAGAGACATTGGGCTAAAACTGATGACTGCCCCACCCCCATGGGTCTCAGCGGCTCCCATGCCAAGAAGGGGAGAGGCTGTGCCAGGCAGTAGCATCTGAGGAATCTGAATGGGTGTGGATTTATTGGGGGGAACAGGAGAGATTTTTCCATTACACCTTTTTTTGGTAGAGACAGCCTCTTATTTTGTCGCCCTCGGTAGAGTGCTGTGGCGTCACACTGTTCACAGCAACCTCCAACTCCTGGGCTTAGGCGATTCTTTTGCCTCAGCCTCTCAAGTAGCTGGGACTACAGGTACCCACCACAACACCCAGCTATTTTTTTCTTTTTGGTTGTTGCAGTTTGGCTGGGTCAGGATCGAGCCTGCCACCCTCAGTATATGGGGCCAATGTCCTACTCACTGAGCCACAGGCGCCGCCCTCTTTTTTTTATTTGAGAGTCTCAAGCTGTCGCCCTGGGTAGAGTGGTGTGGTGTCACAGCTCACAGCAACCTCAAACTCTTGGGCTTAAGCGATTCTCTTGCCTCAGCCTCCCAAGTAGCTCGGCCTGCAGGTGCCCACCACAATGCCTGGCTATTTTTTTGTTGCGGTTGTCATTATTATTTAGCTGGCCTGGGCCGGGTTTGAACTCACCAACTTTGGTGTATGTGGCTGGCATTGTAACCACTGTGCTACGGGTGCTGAGCCGCCATTTCACCTTTTCAAAGTTTCACCACAGAGTGATTCTATTTTAGGGACCCTCTCCTTCCGTCTCTGCTCACACTGATAACACTGACAATGAGTGTTTGTGTTCTCTTCTCTCTTTCTGCCCCCGCAGGTCAGGTCAGGTCAGGAGCTCCAGAGTTGACAGTCCATTATGGCAGCCTTCTGTACCAAAAGCAGACAGCACCGGCCTCTCTCATTCCCAGAGAACTGAGATGTGGCCATAGGGCTGGACACACAACAGAGTTCTAACGTGCCCAGCCTGCAGCCACTACCAAGAACTCAGGAAAGTCACTGGGGCCCTGGCCCATGACAGTCATCTCACACGTAACCTGGCCTCTTGCCTACCATCCTGAGGAGTCAGAAGGCCACTGAAAAACGCATTGCTTACCTTTTATTAATGGCCAGTGGGACAAGGATGTCCCTACTGAAGGAACTTGCCAGGGCAGATCAAGCACCCAGGGGGAGAACACATGATTGATTGTTTTCATTTCCCTTCTCTCTCTTTACACACACACACACACACACACACACACACACGCACACGACCATGTCAGTACTGATTAATTTTGTTTGATTTAATGGTTTTATGGCTTGGGTCGCATCCAGGACACCTGTGCCATGTTGGCCCTGGTGACAAGCATCCTTCCAGTCCTAAGACATGGCCCTGATGACACCTGCACTCTCGCTGGTGGCATAAGAGTTTGGCCAGGGGAGATGTCTGCATCTGAGGTCTGCATGGAGGGAGGGAAGCAGAGGGCATTCCAGGTTCAAACTGGTCAGCTTCCTGAGGCTTTTCAACTGTGTGCAGGAGCACAGGCTTCTTTGAAGAGATTGGAACCCATCGTATTCTTTATCAAATTTTAAGAGAAGGAAAATAAAAAATCTGGTGCTGAGGCACGCGCCTTGGGAAGGAGTTTCCCTTATTCTAAATCCCTTCTGTTTCCAAGTAGTTGGTGAGTGAGGAGAGCTGGTTCTGCCAAGGCAACCCTGGTCAGCAGTCTTGGGAAAGGCCCTGCTGCTGGGCTGAGCTCTCGAGGCTCCGGTTCCTCCTCGTGAGCCTGGGAGATGGAACTGGCCTGGGTCTGGCCTCCAACCTTGCCTGCCAGCTGGGGCCTGGGAGGGCCGGGCTGCTGGATCCAAATCCAGAGCCTACTGTTCCTGGGACCAGAAGGTCTCCTGAGGACAAAAGCCACCTCTCCTCTCCTCTGTGTGTGAAAGGTGACCAGGGAACTGCCCCTCACCAGGAGGAAAGGAGCAGGCTGCCTGGGGAAGCTGTGCCCTGGTGAGGAAGTGACCTGGACAGTGGGGCTGCGATGGCCTTTCCTCAACTGTCCCTTCACATCCATCACCTGTAGCTGCCACTGGGCTCAGAATGGGAAGCTGGCTGATCCTCAGGCAATGACGGTGACACTGGGGGAAAGATACCATCCTCACTTCCTGTAAGACTGGTTGCCTGGAAAGAAAAGCCAGAGTGAGATGTCAGCATCAAGCGGCCCCTGCACAGAGCCCCCTCTGTCCCATCCACAGAATCCCTTCTTTTACCGACTCATGTACAAACAGAATAAGGAGACCTTCCCTCCCATAGGTCACCTGCTTTGTGGCCGGGATGCGACTTGTTTGGCCACACTCTTTCCTCACAGGAAGCAGGCTGCTGGGTGTGGGAGCAGTGAGTTTTGCTGCCAACGGCTCAGGCATATTGAGACCACAGGACACACAACCAGCACTAGCTGAGCAGTCATATCATGCTGCTGCTTGTGGGGCCAGCCACTGGCTACTGGGGCCTGTCTGCCTCTCAGGCCTGTCCTGTGCTGTGGCTGGTGGGATGTGCTGGGGCTTTGTTTCCCAGCAGGAAGAGGGAGGGCTGAGTAACCACACCTCCAGCCCAGTGGGGCCAGCCAACTAGAAAGCCAGGGTCAGGAAAATGGGGGACAGTCACAGAACGCACATATCCTGAGGGTGACTGATTTTGCCTGCCTGATGTTCTTTTGTTCTGTCCTTTTGTTTTCCCTCATTTCTAGTAAAGCCCTTTAGAAAGGCCCAGCCCAGCTCAGATGGTAGGAAAGGGTGTCAACTGGTGAGGCTGTAAGGGTCAGAGAAAGGCGAGCAAAGTGGCCCTTACTGTGAGCACAGGGTGATAGAGAGGCCCCAGGGGCAGAGGTGGGACCCGTAGGTCCACCCCACACTGAGGCCTTTCTGGCAGCCCCTCATCTCTTCTCCAGCAGCCACCTGCTGCTTCTGTTTGACTCAGAGGCCACCTGACCAGTGGCTGGGCCTGGCAGGGACACAGTTGGTGGGATGGGGGCTGGGCGCTGCCTCCCACCAGAAGGCAGGTCCAAGTTGTGGGACTGACCCTGGTGCAGCAGGGCTGACTTTGCACATCCCTGGGAGTGGGGAATAATCTCACAGTGACATCGCCTGGAGGACTCACTCCCCAACTGGAGTGTGAACCACTGGGGCCAATGGCAATTTAGTAAGAGAGAAAGATTAATGGAATAGCTCCCAAAGGAAGCCACCAGCCTTCCCAACCACTGGTGGGCACTCACAGAAGGGGCATGGGCTGAAATGTGGCTCCGGGTTGGCCAGGGCTGGGCTCCCACACCAGCCAGGACCCAGGCTGACTTACTCTGCAGGCCCCTCATGGAGGATGCCATGGAGCTGGGACGGCTGGCTTGCTGGGGGCCACAGGAAGAGAACTGAGGGGCCAGAGCTGATGCCTTTGCCTTGGGGGAGTTCTGGTCCAGGATCTCTGGAGTCTGGGGTGTCCGGGGCTTGCAGGTGAAGGCTGATGTAAGTTCCCTAGAACAAAATGTGCAATCTAGAGTCACAGCTACTGGGTGGAAATCAGAGGAAAAGGAAAGAACAACTCCCTTGCTCACCCACAGATGCCAGGCAGGCACCAATGGGAGAAAATTCCTGCCCCCATGGAGCTCTCAGCCTGGCTTTGCTTCTCTCCAGCACGTTCATTGGCATTCTGGGAGCCTCAGCTTCCCTCGCTGTTTGGTATTTACAGAACAGCTATAATGACCGCACATACCCTGGGGTCCTGCTGTAGGCACCACAAATGGGGATTCTAGTGGGAGAGGGGAACTTGGAGGAAACTGTGGAATTTCTCAGACTTTTTCTATTAATGTATGCGCCCCCATTTAACATTGAGAATATGTAACTTTAATAATTAGAAAAACAGGCTCAGAGCCTGTAGCTTAGCAGCTAAGGCGCCAGCCACATACACAGGAGCTGGCGGGTTCGAATCCAGCCCCAGCCTATCAAACAATGACAACACCAACCAAAAAATAGCCGGGCATTGTGGCAGGCGCCTGCAATTCCAGCTACTTGGGAGGCTGAGGCAAGAGAATCACTTAAGCCCAAGA